GCTGCCATGTTTCCCACGAGACCCCCCGCCCAGATTCTCAGGACTCAAGGTGGCCGCTGGAGGTGCAAAATCACACCTCTCTCCTCTTATATGGATCCCAAATCTCCCTCAGTCCTCACTCTCCTCTCCTGCCTCACCAGAAACACTCTCTGCTTCTATCTCTCCTGCAGCCATGGATGTCTCCTTCTGCTCCGACCTGCAGCTCCACCACGAAGCCTTCCTCTTCGACTCCCTGATGGACAAACAATACAACACTTTGGCCTTCGATGCAGCTTCAGATCCTGGCTATTTCAGTGCCAGCAGCAGCTCCTTGTCTCCCACCTCCTCTGTGGACTCGTTCTGCTTCTCCCCCAACGCTTTCCAGACGAACGAACCCAACCCTTTGGACTGTTTGGTCTTCAAAAGCCCGGCAGTTCCTCAGCAAAAGAGCCAAGACGCCCAAACTCTTCCTACCTCCACGACAAAGAAATCCAGATCCAGATACCCGGGGAAGAAGCGCCAGACAGCGAGCGACAGGGAGAAGCACAGGATGAGGGATCTGACCAAGTCTCTGAACCACCTGAGGACGTATTTACCTGAATCTGTGGCTCCAGAAGGACAGACCCTCACCAAAATCGACACTCTGCGCCTCACCATCCGATACATCTCGTACCTGTCGGCGCAGCTCGGCCTCAGCGAGGAGGTTCTGGAGCAGAAAGCATCAGAATCTGTTCAAGAACCCCAAAATCTGCAGCAGATCCTGGGTCAGCCGACAGAGGGCTACGCCCAGCAGGAAGCAGACTTTCCCTCCATGAGCACGACCCCAATGCAGCCCTCCTATAAGGTATGTTCATATCCTGCTCTGAGCTCCTCTCTTCTTGCTTTACTGTTCTACGTCTCAGAGCCTCCATTTAGTCCAGAAACTTGGCTGACATGTTGGTTTAATTTGACGGCCTGTTCGAAAGATGCTTCTTCGCAGTTTCATGTGGTGGAAGAAGTACTCAGATTACTTAATAAAGTAAAAGTACAAATACTAGGGTCTTAAAATACTCCATAACAGTAGTATTTCAACTTTTACTCTAGTACAAGATCTGAGTACTTTTACTTTTACTCAAGTACAAGACCAGAGTACTTCTACTTTTACTCAAGTATACAAGACCTGAGTACTTCTACTTTTACTCAAGTACAAGATCTGAGTACTTCTACTTTTACTCAAGTACAAGATCTGAGTACTTCTACTTTTACTCAAGTACAAGATCTGAGTACTTTTACTTTTACTCAAGTACAAGATCTGAGTACTTTTACTTTTACTCAAGTACAAGATCTGAGTACTTCTACTTTACTCAAGTACAAGATCTGAGTACTTCTACTTTTACTATCTGAGTACTTCTACTTTTACTCAAGTACAAGACCTGAGTATTATGAAATATTAGATTGAGCCTAAATGTAAACACCATGCTCTCTGCACTTATTCTACGTCTCGTTGGTTAAATCTTGAGCTAAATGAAATGCTCAAACAAACCCAGACATCAAACTGCTTTTGAATGTCAGAGATGTTAAAGAGAATACGTTTCTAACAGAAATGCTTTTCTTCTGTCCTCAGGTTTCAAACGGAGCTTCTCTCTTCACCAGCGAACAGTTCTGGCATCTTCAGAACGCAGCGTTCCCCGGACACTGCTGAGGACGCCAATCCACTCGACTTTATCTCATTGCAACAATGACCTCTAAGAACATTTATTTAACGGACGAAACGTCTCCTTCTTGTTATTTTCAACAACATATATTTATGTCCTTAATATTGTACATATAACTGTTTATTTATTACATTTTCTACAACAGAATAAACATTATTTATCAAATGTGAAACCCGTCAGTTTGTCTCTTTGAGTATCTCACTTTTTTAACATATATTTACTGTAAGTATTTCTCTTTGATGCTACTTTTTACATTTATTTTAACACTCAGATACTTTGTACATATAAAAACACATTATGTAGTATAATGCAGTACTGTACTACTACTCTACGCAGTATTTTAAGTATCTTTATTGGCTCCACATTTACAAACAAGGCTTTAATGTAATTAAAAACAGGCTAAAATAAGAACCATAATAACCTAATACTGTAAAAAGATCCATCCTTTAAACGAGTACTTTTACTTTTGATACCTGAAGTACGTTTACCTGATAATACTTCTGTACTTTACAACATTCTGAAATGGGTCATTGTACAGACTGAGTACTTGTTGTACTTTAAGTATATTTGATGCTATTAAGATAAGATCAGATAAGAAGTACTTTGTTGATCCCAATGTAGGAAATGTTTGCGTTGCAGCATCAAGAGACAAGGCATTGAGAAATTAAAAGAAGTAAACAATCCAAAATGGAAACGTCTCAAATGACTTTCAGGAATCAGAATCAGGATTATTTCCAGGTAGGTTGACACGTGCGAGGAATTTGACTTGGTGTCATGGTGTGTACATAAAAAATAACATTAACAAATATTTAAAATAGTAAACATATAGCAGTATTTACATAGAAATAGAATGGAATAAAATTGATTAACATCATTAGTACTTTAATTAAGTAAATTATCTACTTCTTCAAACACTGGGTCTTCTAATTGGTGCTTGGTCACTTCCTAAAATAAACAGCTGTCAGTGGGACGTAGGTGCTAAACAGGCAGCACATCCCCTCCAAAGTCCTGGAGGAAAGACCCCCCCGCTGAGAGGGGGCAGCTGGAGAAGAAGCACCTCTGCTGAGTCAACATGGCCGTGTCAGGAGAAGGAGGTCATCGGGATAAAGAGGATGGGGTATAAGTATAAACAAAAAGAAACCTTAAATAAATAAAAAGCTGATCCAAAACAAACACTAGAAAAATTCACGAGCAGGCACGATCAACAAAAGGAAAAGGAGCAAACAAAAACCCCAAAGTCGAGAATGGAAAACAACGACGACGAACCGACAGAGAATATAAAACAAAACTAAACTA